TATATATATATTTTACATATACACTACCGGTCAAAAGTTTGGGTACACTTGATAAATTCAACAATATGCAAAAAAATAAAGACATTTCTCATGATAGGTGTTTATTTATATTGTATATAATAAAATAATCATATTTTCATCAAAATATGAGGTTATTTTGTGGATCATGAAGTATATTTTTGATTTTTTAAAAAATAGACTTTCCGAATCGCTTTGAACTACTCATATTGTTTACAATAAAATAATCATTCATTCATCAAAATATAAGATATAAGAAGACATTTTAAAAAATATTTCAGTATTTTTTTAAATTTTAGATTTTTCGAAAATCCTCCCTTTGCTTTTATAACAGCAGCATATACTTTGTGCATTCTTACAATCAATTTCTGCAATGATTCAGTTGATATTTGATTTCAGCATGTTTGTATGAGTAGCCAAAGGTGCAACAAATTAATCAAAGTTTTTGATTGGTTTGTTGCATTTTTCTCACATTTCTATCCAACTCGTCCCACAAAAAGTTAATCGGATATAAATCCAGTGACTGAGGAAGTCATTTCATATATTTATAATATTTAATTCATTTTGTTTTTCTTTATCTGCAATATAATTACAGTTGAATTTAGATGTGTGTTTAGGATCGTTATTTTGTTGAAAAACAAATCCGCAACCAACAATTCTTTTCCCGCAAGGAAATGCATATTCTTTGAGAATGTTGTGGTGTTTTTTTTATCCATGATGTCTTCAATTTGCGCAATAGTCATCAACTTTTTTCCGGCAAAGCATCCCCAGATTATTGACCCACCACCATTTTATCATGCATTCTCCAATTTAACTTTGTTTCAACAGTAAACAAGACTTAAAACCATTGTTGAACTGTCCAATTTTTATAATTTTTTTCCCATTTAAATCTTTTAGTTTTATTTAGCTTGCGTAGTAATGATTTTTTGGTAGCAATGCATCCGTTCAAACCGTAATTGCAAAGTACTTGTTTTATGGTTGAAACAGATTCTGGTAATTTCCGCATAGAATAAAGTTCTTGGGATAATTCTGGAACAATTCGAGTATGATTTCTGTTAATTTGATCACAAATAAATGGGATAATGAAATGCAGATAAAAGCAAAGATAATGAAAACAATTATTGGATAAAACTGAAACATTAATTATAAGAATGATACGGCATTTTTCTTTTTATGATAAAATATATTTAATTATATATATTAAAAACATCATCCAAAACAAGTTATAGAAATGGTAGTTTTCAAGAATGAACTAATTGATCTTGTGAAACACATTAAGTTTCGAAAGATCTACAGCAATTTCCAAAATAAACTAAATTAAGATATTAACAATTTTTGAAAATCTAATCTATTTTACACCTAATAAAACATTTAATCTCTACAATTTATTTAAAAATTTGTTAAGAAATCACTTTAAGCTATAAATTATTTAACTCAAACATAATCAATCTTTTGAAAAATCATAAAGTCTTCGATAAAATTGACATTAATACAGCTTCCAATTGTTTTATTACTTTAAAAGACCATAAAGATAATTTTTAAAACAATCCGACTAAAAATGATAATTAATAAAGATATTCTTACTTAAATTAATCAAGACCTGAGAAATATATTACAATTAAATAAATGGGAAAAGACTTAATATGTTATCAATTGGTTTAAGGCCATAAAAGATAAACACCTTTATAAATTTATAGTTTTTGATATTGTTGACTTCAATTGTAATTGCTCCTAATCAAGATTCATCTCCTAATGAAAAAGTCATTAGTATAAGTGAGACTCCTTTTAAGTTAATATATGCTAATCACATTAAATTTTTTAACATCTCTAAATACTAAAATGATACTGAGCTCTCAAATCAGGTATGAAAGTTAAAAGAAGCTAATTTAGTCACTGTAGTTAAGCGGAAAATTTTCAGGCGATGTAAAGCATATAATCCAACATCCATAACTTGTAAATTTTTTAATATATTTTTTAAGGGTTTTTTCTTTATTTATATACATATATATGGCTAATGAGTGCCGCAAATGGCATGAAACTTTAAGTACCATCAAAAAGTTGCTTTTTTTTCATCTAACTATTTATTTATTGATCTCTTTTGTGATTATGTATATATATATATATATATATATATATATATATATATATATATATATATATATATATATATATATATATATATATATATATATATTTATATATATATATTTATATATATATATATATATATATATATATATATATATTTATATATATATATATATATATATATATATATATATATATATATATATATATATATATATATTTATATATATATATATATATATATAGAGAGAGAGAGAGAGAGAGAGAGAGAGAGATGAACTTTTGCTTTAAAATAATGAAAGTAGATTTTATTTTATTTTTTTAATTTTTTGATTATTTTCAAAAAAGGTCACCTACTACACAAAATTTAAAAAATGGTATATAAGTAGCATTTGCAAGCAGCATTATAACTTTCGGAATTTTCTTGAAATTTACAAAATTTTCTAGAATTTTCTGGGCTGTTCTGAATGTTTTTAGAAATCTCTGACACTTTCTAGGATATTTTAAATTCTTATAGAAGTTTATGGAAATTAGCAAAATTTATAATGTATAAATTATAAAGTATAAGAAAAATGTTTCCACTACTGAAAGAAATAAGGCGATCTGGAGAAATAGTATTGCTCAATTTTATGAGTCACATTAGAGAAGAAGAACTGTTCCATTAGAAGAACAGTTCTTCTAAGAACAGTCACTCGAAGATATCAATAGGTAACTACTTAAAATCCAAAGTGTTGGTTACTATCTTCTCATAAGAAAACCCATCAATTGGAGACAAAAATGCATAAAGCAAATAGAGAAAGAAGTAACAAGTTCATGGCAAAAGAAATAAAATTTTCATCGTTTAGCATTTCAAGTAGTACAGGCAAAACTGGATCAAGTGCTTAAGACATACGATAAATGTAAAAAAAAAAAAGAAAATACAATACATTAAATATAGTTTTTGACATAACAAAATGAAAAAAACTAAATGTAAAAAAATGGTTCTCTAGTATGGACAAAAGAGTATGTATAATACTCCTCCAATAATTGTATTCTTAATGAATACAATTATTGGAGGAGTATTAAGATGATTGTCAGTCTTTGACCCTACCAATATAAACATTAGAAGAACGAGATTGTCAGTCAGTTACAAAGACGTTATATTGAAAAGAAAATGGAAGAACCACAATTTATTGGTTATCAGAATCATATTCTATTTATTCGAGTAGTATTGGATGAAGAACTTAGAAGAAAAAAGAAAATCCTGGAACTTGTAAAAAACTACTAACAGCTCAAAAAGAATTTCAATAATAGCAAAAAAGTTATTACTGAAACAGCAGGATGTCCTGATGGCAAGAAATTTTTGTTTCATTTAACTCAGGTATTTCACTTTTTTTATGAATCAGGAGTATTTCCTAAAGCAAAGTTTTTGAAAATACCTAAGTTAATTGATGCAAGATGGAATTCCCATGCACTACTAGCTCTTTTGGCATTTATTCTTCTACTATTAAAAAGAGACTCACTACTCTACATTTGTAGATTTATCTCTTTCCAATGGGCAGACCATTGGTTTACTGACCAAATGTACAATGCAGATGTTTATGAGAAGCTATGTAGCAACTTGCGCGGTAAAAAAAAAATGTTAAGCTTGGTGAAAAAGTTTTGGAATCAAGAGCCATTGAGACTGGAAATTTTAAGAACAAATCAATGTGCATATGAGCAATTAAGTGTCTACAAGATCTTTTTGACATCTACATAGAGTAGAAGTTCTTCTTAACAATCCGCCTCGGAACAACTTGATTTAGTGTTGACACCAGCTTTTTCACAACAGAATTGGACAGCCCTGTGTTGTGTTGCACATAAACAAGATCTTTTGCTGTCGGTTCTGGTTCCTCATTAAAAAGTTTTCTTGCTCTTAAAAATGAAGATAGGAAATAATTAAGAGGGATCTAACATTTTTATGCATTACATAAACTTAAAATATGAAGCTAAATCTCTAAATATTCAATACAAAATTACCTGAAAGAACTGGAATAGGGTAGTCTCCTATTCCCTCAGGTCTACTAAGACGAACTGCTCCATGGGGTATACCCCCATACCTCCAATGGATTTTTCAGGGTCAAGACATCTAGAAATAACTCATTTTATTTACAACAGTGTATTGTTTTCCTATTGTTATTTAAACAATAGGAAAACAATATAGTGAAGATATATAAGATAGCGCTTAGATTTTAAACCTTTATCTGTTCATATGTTCTTGGTTCGACAAAACTACTTGCGTGACAAAAATACTTTCTGATTATAAAATACTAGCCTGATTTTAAATACCAGTTTCGTTGCATTAAAATTAATTTAGATCAGGTCCTTGAAATTATATAACACACTGAAAAGTATAGCATTGATAAGAAAATGTTGCTTTTTACAAAGTTTTTTTGCTTTCTTTACATTATAATTAGTGGTTTTGATAGTTGATAAATAAATTTTATTATTAAAATGTAATAATATTTTGTGATGGAACCAGTGTATAAATAAATATGTTTGTAAATAATTATAAATCTTGAATGCTTATATTTCAAGTACAAATATTTTATATATTTTTTACCGTTAATGTATATATATATATATATATATATATATATATATATATATATATATATATATATATATATATATATATGATGTTGATATATATATATATATATATATATATATGTATGTAATTTTATATATTTTTTACTGTTGATGTATATATATATATATATATATATATATATATATATATATATATATATATATATATATATATATATATATATATATATATATATATATATATATATGATGTTGATATATATATATATATATATATATATATATATATATATATATATATTTAATTTTATATATTTGTTTACCGTTGATGTATTCTTTAAGTTTTGGCAAACCTTCATTCCATGCTTTATTTAAGTTTCCCGAAACAACCGTCGAAACCCACAGTGATGCATCGTAATGCCTTGTTGCATAAATATTGTTGTAGTCTAAGTTAATAAAAACTGGTCCATCAAGTTTTCCGTATATTTTGGGCTTTATATAGTCAGTCTCCACCTTATTTTTCAAGGCATCGTCAGAGAAGTACGAGATAATAATTCCCATCTTAAAAGTTTAAAACGAACTTTGTTTAAGAATTAATGTGCCATCATTTTTTTTCATATTTTACTTTTATTCGTCACAATGAAAACAAGCGCCAAAATTTTAATTAAAAAATGTTCCAAATGTTCATTATAGTTATATAAGCCACAGAGGGAGGCATAAGGAGGCGCCTAATATAATAACATAAGAAGGAGATTTCTTTTAAATAATTTACTAACATCTTAACGAGAGAAAAAAAAAAATTTTTTTGACAATAATTTTTTTTCGACAATTTTGCTTTAATTTTTGTTACCTGCGTTGCGATAGCAACATCGTCATTCTATTATTCGCAAATTAGTACATTTCTTTTGTTATAATTTAGGGTGTTTCCTGATGCGAAAATTTGTGCTGTTCAAGGTTGTGGCAAACCTAAAAAATACTCCTGTTCAAAAACATATCTTCCTGTCTGCAGTTTGCAGTGTTATAATCAAATTGTTAAGTAATTTTTCAATTCAAAGATTTCTCTAAGGTAATCGGTCTCCGTTTTTTTTTTTAAAAAAGAAAAAGTTTCAATTAGAACTACTACTTAAGAGTTTTAACTAAATATATTTTCAAACAAATTTTTCATGTAAGTTTTTTGATTCAAATACAATACTTATGAATAATGCATTGAAAGTTTCTTTTCTTTTTCATTTAAAAAATCTTTTTTTTTTATTGTTTTTTAATAAAAACGCTTTTTATTCTTGCAAATATATGTTGTTGTTTTTTATAATAAGTTATTAAAATTTTTAAATGAAAAATTAAGTATTATTAAATTTATTTAAGTGTCAGTTAATTATAAGCATCACGCTTTATATTAGCTTTACGGCCAGCCATGCTAGATATTAAAATAAAAATTTAATTTTAAAGCATATAAAAATAAAACAGCAGTAAATGTGTGAGGCCATGATAATGTTGTTGCAAGCAGTGCCGGACCGTACTATAAGGCAAATAAGGCAGCCGCCTAGGGCCCCCAAAAAGTTGAAAATGAAGAAATTAAAGGAAACATGCAATATAGAAAAATATACAGTACTCACATCAATTTTGTCATGATTTCCTGTATAAATATTAATAATAAAAATTACTTAAAAATTGAAGAAAAATAAATATGTTGGGGGGGGGGGGGTCCACATCCATGTCTGCCTAGGGCCCCCAAATTGCTCTGTCCGGCACTGGTTGCAAGCTAAAATGTTACAAAAGTTTTATTTTTAGTTTTTTAAAAATTTTCTTTATTACTTATTTTTGATTTAGTTTGAGATTTCATCTTTAGTTATTCAGAGATTAAATTATTCATAATGGAACTATTTAAATGTCCTAACCAACAAAATTTTATTCCTTAGCTATATTTAAAATTTTTTGCAAATAATTTGAATTTCAAATCATTAAAATAAGTAATATTTATAAATTTTTTTCAGCAAAAATATGATAGATTTATCTAATCAAATCAATTTTTTTATAAAAACGCTTTTTATTCTTGCAAATATATGTTGTTGTTTATTATAATAAGTTATTAAAATTTTTAAATGAAAAATTAAGTATTATTAAATTTATTTAAGTGTCAATTAATTAAAAGCATCACGCTTTATATTAGCTTTACGGCCAGCCATGCTAGATATTAAAATAAAAATTTAATTTTAAAGCATATAAAAATTGTCAATTTTGTCATGATTTCGTGTATAAATATTAATAATAAAAATTACTTAAAAATTGAAAAAAAATAAATATGTGGGGGGGGGGGATGTCTACATCCATGTTTGCCTAGGGCCCCCAAATTGCTCTGTTCGGCACTGGTTGCAAGCGAAAATGTTACAAAAGTTTTATTTTTAATTTTAACAAATTTTTTTTATTACTTATTTTTGATTTAGTTTGAGATTTCATCTTTAGTTATTCAGAGATTAAATTATTACTAATGGAACTATTTAGATTTTTTTTTGTCCTAACCAACAAAATTTTATTCCTAAGCTATATTTAGAATTTTTTTGCAAATAATTTGAATTTCAAATCATTAAAATTAGTAATATTTATAAACTTTTTTCAGCAAAAATATGAAAGATTTATCTAATCAAATCAATGAAACGGAAAGTACTTCAAATGAAAGAGGGGATCACTTACTTCCAGTCCATTTTTTGCCTGAAGGTAAAAAGTGTTATGATTGGATAAATGAAGATATTGATGAATCTAAAAGTACATCGCTATGCAAACAGTCAACAAATAGCTCAATTTACACTTTTGCAAGTATAGGTAATGACCCTGGAAGCAATTCAGACATAAACAGTGATAAGATAAAACTTTTTTTGAAGAGTGCTGAGAATGGAGATGTTGATTTGTTAAAACAGCTTTTGTTTGAATTGCCAATTTTAATAAATTGTTCAGACCATGATGGTTATACTGCAATGCACCGTGCAAGTTATTCAGGTCATCTTTCGGTAATCCAGTTTTTAGTTGATCATAAAGGAAGTATTAGGGCCAGAACTAACGATGGTTGGGAACCCTTACACTGCGCTGCACGCTGGAGTACGTAGTTTAACAAAATATTTTTCATTATATGAGTTTCCAATTTTTGAGGAGCGCTATATATATATATATAAATATGTATATATATACACACACACATATATACACACACATATATATATATATATATATATATATATATATATATATATATATATATTTATTATATATATATATATATATATATATATATATATATATATATATATATATATATATATATATATATATATATATATATATATATATATATATATATATATATATATATATATATATATGATTACTTTGAGTTATCAAAGCATGCTCTCGGTGGAAAATATTTCTTTTATGGTTTTTATAGACCATGTGGATGTTTGTTCATTGTTACTTAAATATGGTGCTGACGTTAATGCGCAAACTAACGGACTTCAAACAGCACTTCATTTCGCGTCTTTATCAGTGGATAATGCACAACTGTTAGAAATGCTCCTTTTGAGAGCAGAAATTTCTCCTTACTTGAAAAATAGTGCAGGAGACACTCCATATGATTTAGCTTACAGGAGCGGTGAACATGTCAAACTCTTTGAACTGGTGCATGAAGGGTTGAAGGTATGAAAATGCTGGTTCATGACGTGCCAACAAAAAATTTAAATTTTGTATTTAGATTTAATATCAAATTTTTCATATTTTTTATTTTTTTTTATAACTCATATTTGAGTTTTACGAAAAAATTTTCTTTGTATATTTTAGATTGTATAAAATTCTAACATCCATTTAAAACGAAGTCACGCTTTTTTAATTAAAAACATTCATTATATAGCATATTGAAAAAATAAATATAAAATTAAAATTAATTACGGATTTTAATTAAAAAGTAATATATATATATATATATATATTTCAAATATTTAAAAAATCTAGTTCAGGTTTCTGAGTATGGTATTTCACTCAGAAAGAAATTTATTTATTTTATATAGAACATGTAGAAATTTAAACAGAATTCTGTTTGTCTTTTATGTTTTACCTTCTCTAAATTTTTCTTTTTTTTAATTGTTCAAAACATTCCTTTGAAGGATGCGACGAAATTCTTTTTTTAAACTGTTGTGAAATTTAATAACGCGTCTTCTGTGTGTCAAAATCTTGAAAAAATTATTGTTTTTTGTTTTAAAAATTCTATTTATTTTTTATTCACCTTCCCTATAAGTTCAAATTTCAAATATATATTAATTTTAATCGTTTCTGCTTCCCTTAAAACGCTTTTTTAAATATGAAAAAACTCAAAGAATTTAATATAATAACTGGTATTGTGTTCTAAATTCTATATATTCTATATAATAAAATTAATAATTTTCAATAAATTTCTATATATTCTCTATAATAAAGTATATAATTTTTAATAAATTTCCATATATTCTATATAATAAAATATAATTTTCAATAAATTTATATTTATTCTGTATAATAAAATATATAATTTTCAATAAATTTCTTTCTAAACGAAATACTATAGCTACCTAACAAACTCAGCGAGATTTTTTGAATATTTAAAATTAATTACAAATAATTGTTATTAGTGTATTTCATAGTTAAATAAATTATTAATAATAGTAATAAATTATTAATTAATATGCTAATATAATTGTTATTTTATTATTATTTACTAATTATTTTTTTAACACCATCAGTTGCACTGTTTACCACCAATTCACCCACCGTCATGTTTGTCATCATAAATTATTATTCTTATAAATTTTAGCAATTTTTAAAAAAATTAACAATATGAATTAAGTTAAGAAATTTAACTTTACTTAAAAAACCTATAGCTCTTATCATAGTCTTAAAATACATTGTCATTGGCCAATTTAAAAGTTGTTTATCTTATTGTTAGCGTTTTTTTAGAACCCAGCCTACCAATGAATGCACACTTTTTGTAAACATAATGCCTCGTCTTAATTGTTACATATTTGGTTCTGAAACTTCTTGAAGAAGTATGCATTTATTTCTATTTAAAATATTTTCTTTTAAAAATAATTTAAAATTTAAAAATAATTTCAAAAATATTTTAAATTTTAAAACAAAAACGATTAACTTCTATTCAGAACACGTTGCAACAAAGATTGCTTGTAACATTAAGAATATTTTTTTAAACAAAATTCATGAACTTATTTGTAAAACATGTGATTTAAACGCTTAATGTCAGTTTATTCACTTATTTGCTGTGTTAAAGAGACATTTTTTTGAATTTGAATGTTGCTTTGTTATGTAGCGTTTGAATTTATGCTCCGACCTAAAGTAAATTTGGTTAAAGCGTTTTTACTCCCAATTTTAACTAGGAAAGAGCTGAATTTATTGATAAACTTGAGTTTACAAAAACATATCTGACTCTAGATCTAATATGAAATAATTGAAGTACTGTTTATTTGATGAGTTTGCCATGTTTTAGATTTTTGTGTACTTTTGGTAGTCTGGGCATGATAAATAAACTATTTTCAAGATAAGTTTAAAATTTTAACTTTTGTTTAAAGACAATAAAATCTTGCGAAAACGGCCCAACTGGCCATATGTTATTATGACTATGTTCTTATGAATAATCAATTTTGTTGTTCAATTGGGAATAAGTCTGATTGGTAACTAGAAACGACTTTAACCATTATCTAATTGGTAACTAGAATGTGTTAACCATTAACTGATTGGTAACCAGAAACGATGTTAGCCATTATTTATTTAATAATTAGAAACGATGTTAATCATTATAATACTGTGAAATTATAAAAATAGCAACACTTTCTAAGTAATATAAATTTATTCAGGCAGCGATATTATTTATAATGCAATCATAGCCATGAATGGGTAAAGTAAGAAGCAGCAAGGTGGTGTTAAAAAGTAAAAAGCATTTAAGTTTACTACTTTTTAGTTTTTCAAGTTTGTTTTTTTATTGCTATATTTTTTATTTACCATACTATTAAAAGCATGCGCTTGACAATTAGTATTTTTTGAATATATTTACAAGAAATATATTATAGAGAAACACAACTATTAGATAATATCAGCATACTATAGTGTTACAACCGCTGTAAAATGCAACAGAAAGCGGTAAACGTTTGTTCATCTAAACATCCTGCAGTAAATTACTGGATTAAACTTAGATGTATGCGTACAAATAATGTTTATTTTGTTGCTCCTGATGGTTCGAAATTTTCATCTACCAACGAAATTGCTAAGTTTGTAGCAGTTATGTTTGGATTATATTCAGAAATTGAAACTTTCTTACTAAAGCTCCAAGAACTTTCTATTTCAAAAGAAATATATGATGAGGATTTATCGGACTTGCAAGCTACAATAAAAAATCATTATGCTAATCTATTTACAGAAGAGAAATCTTTACCTACGGTGTTGAGTGACGATTTTACAAATATTAAAAATTTTTCTGATGAAGTGCAGACTATAAAAAAAGATGAAGTTCAGATCATAGAAAAAGATGGAGTTCCGACGTTTTATCACGAAGTTTTTCGACATACAAAAAGTTGTCCAAATAACGATATTTTAACTTCAAAATGTTTTCCGATTTTAAAAAATGTTAAAAATAAAAATTGTAAAACACAGACAAAAAATGAAGTGTCAAAAAGCGACAATGATGGAGGCAGTTTAAGTTTAACTTGTACGGATAGAATTATTAAAAATGACGAAGATTTAGATGGACTAACTAAAATTGAAGAATCATCAGCCAATATTTCTGCGGATGAGAGAGTTTATACAAATAATGTTTTCTCTCAGTTTGCGGTGCAACCCATTAACAATTTTAAGATAAAAGATCCTCAAAAAAGTAAACAGAGACTTGTCCGCATGAGCCCATATTTTAAAAAATTACATCCTTCTAAAGGTAGGTGGCTCCTACGAGGATAATATTATTTTTAACATTTTTTTTTCTAGCAATTTATTCAAATAGTTTAACAAATAAATTTGGGAATTTAAAAAGAATTTGTTTATTTATTGTTTTGGAAAGTTTCAAGAATTAACAGCTGACTAGAATTTTTTTTTTTTAATCAATACTGTATATACTTTGTGTTTGTGTGTGTGTTTTTTTTGTATGCATGCGTGTGTGTGTGTGTGTTTGTGTGTGTGTGTGTGAATTTTTATGAATCAATTAAAAAACAAACTTCACTATAATTTTCAGCGACAAAAGACTACTAATCAATGATTTTATTCAAAACTGTTCGGCAATGTTCATTTGTGTTAAAGCATGGAAGTATAAAAAAGATGGTAGTTCATCGAGCCGCAAATATCAAAGCAATTTCAAGTCGTCTCGGGAGTATGCTTGTAACCAACAATAAAAAAAACAAGTTTCACTGGACAAAAAAAACCAAATTCACTGAAATGATTTTTATTAAAAAATCAAAAAATAATTTATTCTAGGAATATGCCGCAAAGTTTTAACCATTAGTAATTGCAATTATTCAGCAAAAGGTTCAAAACTTTTTTCATATATATTAAAACTCGGTAATTAAATAGAAGCACTTTATTTTAAAAGCATATGTTAGTTTAAGCTTCTTTCCTTGCTTCAAGTCATAACATGACATTTGACTAAAAAGACAAAGAAAACAATTTTTAATAAATCAAAAAAATTATTTTTTGAAATAACTAAAATTTAAAGTTTCATCAGCTTAATTCCATTATCATAATTCCATTAATTTTTGTTGTACTCTATTTAATATGAAGTTGATAAAAAAGTTGTTGTTTGCTGTAATGTTGCGCCATTTTTAATGTTTTTCTTCAAAATACTATGTTTTAAATTATTATATCATATCATATATAGATTCTGAAAAATAATTTCATAGATATTTAAATTCTACTAATATCAAGTAAACACCAAAAATATAGATCTTTATATATATAATTAGTAATAATTATAAGAATAATAATTATAAGAATAAAAATAATATTTATAGTAATAAACATAAGAACCACAATAATAATAAAACAAACAACAACAATAACAATTTTAATATTAATTACATTAAAACATAATCAAATTAATGTCACTTGTTTTTATAAACACAATAGTTAAATATAAATATAAGTTAGTTACCAACAATTGACTGATAAAGCGTATTAACTAACAAAAACATAAAACACTTATATAAATTTAAAATAATAAAATATGAATAATGATAGTAAAGTTAAAAATAGTAATAATTGTGGCTACGATAAATATTTAAAACTAAAAGAAATAAAACTATAACAAAAAACATGATAAAAATTTAAAAAATAAAATAAAAACAAAAAAACATTAAAAAAAATGAGAAAGTTTAATTTTTTTTTTGTTAGTCTGATTGATTTGGTTTCTTGTTTGTTTTTTGCTATTTCATTTCCTTTTTTTTCTTTTCTCCACTCTCTTTATATTTATTTTTCTTATTTAATTATTTTTTCTTTGTCTTTCTTTTTTTTTTTTTTCTTTTTTTTTTTTTTTTGATATTATTTTATTTTTGATATATTTTTGATATTATTTTTTTATATTATAAACGTATCTATTTGCGTCAACCTATAAAGAATAGGCGTTTAAGTAGGGGAAAGGCGCCTATGATGGCATAGCGCCTATGCTGGCACACCGATTATATTTTCATAAATATTGGTTATGACGAAAAAGTGATTAGACCAACATGTTTATACTGACTTTACATTAGTTTTAGTAAAAATACGTCCTTTATGCACAAATATTGCTTTTATAATCAACAAAAATTGATTTTGGGATGTGCTGTTGTACTTTTAATCCCTTTAAATATTTAAGATTGTGATTTTATTAATTACTGTGCAGAAATGAAATTTTCATGCGTTTTATTTCTAAGTTTTGTGCATTTAGTGGAATACTTTAACAAGGCAGGCATCGCTTGTTTAAATAAAAATGATGACTTTTTCCTATGATGGCATACTGACGAGTTAGGTGTGTTGCAATATTGGCGAGTTAAGAAAACCTTTTTTTTTTTTCATAAAAACAACATTTGTTAGTGAAGTATAAAGGAAAATTTACATTACTAAAAAATATTTGATTCGAAAAACATATCACGCAATATCTCTTGCGCATGCGCGAATATCTACACTGCTGCTGTGTAGCACGAAAGGTTAATTCGGATGGTTACGCGTAAATTTTGGTATTTCTGAGGGAAGACTATAAGGTCAAATAAAATAGTCAAGTTACCCTTGATGCTAACCAGTCCCATTCTCCCCATATGCCAGAGGATATAGGAGCAGTAGTTACCTATGATGCATACTTATGATTTTTTTAAATAAAAATAACTGATAAAAAATTAAACTGATGAAAACTCCTAGAGTTATTATTTTTCTACATGTAACAAAGAATGTGTCCATATCAAAACTTTTGTTCTTGGTCTTTAGGATACTGAATAACGAAACTTCAAAGTTAAATATGCCATCATAGGCGTCTTTTTCCTACAGTCTTGATGTCGTTTTCTTATTGTTTACGAAACAAAAGTTACAAGCATAGTTCCGAAAAATTTCAATGCGATTGAACTTCCATCTGTTTTATACTTCCATGGTTAAAGTTTGGGTGACTAAAAATTTCTTAAAAAAGTCTAATTTGTAATTTCAAATTATAATTTTTACATAAATTTGGTATATAAAATGAAGAGTCAAAATAAGCTGTGTTTGTCTTCATTTTTAAATTGGTTATTTTTATTAAGTTTGTCAAAACTCAAAGCTTAAATGTAGTCTGGTTTCGGCTTTTCTTTTGAAAAATCTTTTGGCTTTTACTCAGCGTTTTTGGAGTAGTTGCTCAGCCTAACGTGAATAAAAATTTGAGGAAGATTGCTCATGTTTTTATTCACGTAAAGCTGAGCAATTTACTTCAAAATGTATATTCAAAATCTATTCTTCATCTGGGTCAGGTTTACTTTCTGCAGGATGGGTGTCTACTGGCGAGAATTGATAAAAATCTTATTCTTTATTTTATTCACTTCATAAGCAAAAGACTGAACATTTTCATCATTTCGAATATCAAAACCATAATTACCACAATAACCATAAAACCGTAAGTCAGCGCAACATTCTGTCGTTTTATAGGTTTTGAACATAAACTTCATCAAGATCAGATAGTTTAACCATAAAATTAATTTTCAACAAATACAGTCAACTGCTGTTTTATCAAAGTAGGAAGGCCACCGTCAGAATACTCTAACTCTTTGTTAGTTTTTTTTATTTTTTTTTATTTTTACAAAGTATTTTTACCTCCAAAGTAAATCATAAAACTCTAAACAGTAATCGCAAAATGTTTTAGAGCATTTTACTGTATTTCCAATTAATTTAAATTTTCTTTTCTTGACCTCCCCTCCTCTTCCTCTCTCCTTTGTCTATAAAAATAATATAAAAATATTTTAAAACTATAAAATTATTTTAGATCCCCCTCTCTCTATTTTGTTGACATAATTGAAAGAAGAAAAAAAAGTTTTTACCGTATTGGTGGGAAAAGTTTGGTCGTTCCTTTTTTGGCGGTATAATTGTTAAAATTTCACTTTGAAATATACAAATGAAAATTAGTTGAACATGAAAATAGTTGATTAAGGGGCAATTTTACCAAAAATTTGACATGTTCCACAATCAAGTGGCCAATTACTATGAAACATGGTAAAAAGAGCATGTGATCCACGCTTATATTTATAAAAGTATATGTCGTGATGCTGTCAATCTACGTTTATATATGAAGCTAGTATATAAGCGACGCTGTTAGGCAAGTCATGGTTTATCTGAGACATGGTTTATCTGAGATACCCTTAGATAAAACAATATAATTACCTTTGATCTGAAAATGTAGTTCTAACCATATATCAGCAATCAAGCATGAATCTTAACTAATCTCTAAGTTAAAGGAGAAAGTGGGGAGAGAAGGACCGTTAGAACACAGTTTGTCAATCTAATTTTCAATTAATAACTTTATTGTTCCAAAAACTAATTCAAAACTAAATTCTTACAAAATCCAATACTGTGGACCGTTTCTATGGAAACATTTTTCAAAATTTATCACAAAAAAAAATAATGTTCAACACATCTCTTTGGAAAAATTCAGAAAAAAATCTAAGAATCTCTTATTACAAAAAGACTTTGATTTAAAATATCTCTTTTAAAAATAATACACAAATAATATAAATTATCTAAAAAAAATAGTTATTGACACTACTTCTCTTTTGTTGCAATTTTAATCTAATTTAATTTTTTCTTGAAAAACTTTAATACTTTTAAATTACTGTTAATCTTGGATATAATGCGTTAAATTTCAACACTAATATTTTTATTATGTTATTAGTTATATTGTAACTAACGTATTCAAAATTCTTGTTATGTATTTAGCTACTCTTCATTTTTTATATTAACTGACGATTTTTTAATGTAAATTTTATGACGGGGTTTGATGATAAGACAATTTATGTCTTCTGCTTGCTCCAGTTCTCTTATTTATTAACACGATTTATTTCATTGTAAATTTTAATATATGACAAAACTCTTTGCTTAAAAAAATAAAATTAAAAAATTAAAATAATTTTTTAATTATGTTTATTAAATTTGATTTTATAGGGTTTGCCTTTTTTTCCCACCTACTTCTCTCATGAATTGCCTCTACATTTTATTCTAAACTTGTGTGAATTCCATGATAATTAAAATGAAAAATAAAAAATCGCCGTATGGCCATACAATTAATGAAAAATGCAATATACCATAAATAAACAATTATTCTTACTGGCAAATATTATTATTTTCATTATGTGGGCATATGTATATATTTAATAATACTATATATAATAATTAATTTGTAATTGATTAATGGTTTATTTGTTAATATTTAGCAACACACACACACACACAAACCGTTGGTGTGTATGCTTCAACAATTCATTGTTTGAATTTGTTCTTTTTTTGTAAATAATGATTTTTTTAAGTATTAGTAAATACCGGTTTGCGTGGTGTCCATAACACCGTTCGTTATACTCCAACGTTTTCTCCATTTAATCTCATACAAGAACGCCTATATATGAAACCATGGCAACTTTTGATTGCTACAATATTTCTAAATAAAACATCTGCCACAGTTGCTCTACCATTATTCTGGCAATTTGTAAGCAGGTTTCCAACGCCAAATGATGTGAATGAAAACAACTTCGAAGAAATATCAGGTATTACACTTAAATTAACTTTTGTCTTTATTTTATGCGTCACTAGTACCCAGGATTTTTTTATTGAGATGAGATATGACACTTGCAAGCATAGCGCTAATTCTAAATTTAAGTATCTTGATTCTTTTTTTAAATAGAATATTTATTATTATAATAGTAATAGAATATATTAAATAAAAAGAATATTTTCTGGAAAATTGCGGTTATTGGAGCTTGGAAACAAATAAACCCAAAAAGTAAGTACTTTGTTTCGTCCCCTACTTAAGTTTGAGGTAAGAAATATTTTATTTAACTTGTACTAAATCTAAATTAACAGGTTTCATTAAACTATCTTTTATTGTTCAAATGTAATGACTTAATATTTATAACCTACTCTCCATTTGTCCTTTTAAAGATTATTCAGTTTCATTTAAAATGTGTCGATAAATTTAAATCTAAAATAATAGTTGAAAATGGATGACCAATAGTTGAAGGTGGATGACAGTGATATAATGCATATCACAAAAAGTTATCAACTGGTGTGAATGTCTTTAATGGTCCACTGCATATCACAAGAAGTTATTGACTATAATGAATACCTTTAATGGTCCACTAGGTAACAAGGTAATGAGCAAAACTAAACCCTTTTAATGCCTTTTAGGTCCACTACAAATCCACTACAACAATTTTTGCTGGGTTAAGTTCATATAATTTTTATCTGAATATATTCTCTGTTATTTGTTATTTATGGTTTAATTGTGAGCGTTACTTGATAATTATTTAGTTTTATCTAAAGTACTAATTCAAAATATGTTTTCCGACAGAAAGATTTAAATTCTTGCTTTAGGATTCTATCAAAATTACTTTAGAAATCCCTCGTTTCTGTTGGATTTCGAATTCGTCTTGCTCACAAACGATATTTTCTTGTATCAGTAAAATATTTAAATATTTGAAAAGGTTGTAAATCTGATGTAAATCAAGTAACATGTTTTCTATTATTGTTTTTGTTGTTAATGTTTAAAACGGTAAACGTGCTTCTATTCTTATTCACCCTTCTATTCATATCCATTCTAGTAGTACTACATTTGGCCGTTATTTATTTGTTGGTACTAGACTAAATTAAATTATTATTAACGTTATTTTATTGTTTCAAATGTTTTTAGCTTTAATGAAACCTTTGGGATTAAACTATCGGCGTGCAAAAAATATAATACAGTTTTCATTTGAGTTTCTTCATAAAGACTGGAAGTATCCTCGAGAATTATATGGAATCGGAAAGTATGGTGATGATTCCTATCGTATGTTTTGTCTCGGACAGTTTGATAATGTTCATCCTACAGACAATAAACTTAACTTATATAAAGTTTGGTTAAAGGAGCATATTTCTAAAATATTACCATAAAAACTTTATTTATATTTTATAGTTTGTTTCAGTTTTTTATTTTCAATAACTAACGCTGGATTAATTATAAGTGACTGTTCTAAATTTAAATGGATGCAGACCGTTTTCGATTTATAGTAGTTTATTAAATGCAATGTTTGTGTTTGCATAACTGTCTTGTATATTGCTGTTATGTATATTACACGGCGTGTATTTACATTTTAAGAAAACATTAAATTTTAAAACTTGCATAATAATTTCTTTAAAAAATAAAAAAAAAAGCTCAATGCAAGCTCTGGTCGTGAGCTTCCTTGTGTAATGTTCTTCCGCGTATACCAAAACCGTTAGGGTTAGGACGTTAATAAAGTTAAAGTTAGTAATTTGAATAGTACAGTAATTTGAAAAAAAACTTTTCAATTTTCACAAATGTTTTTTTTCTTCCTCAAATTGTATATTATACTATTAGAAAGCTATGAAAAAATTTTAAAACTTAAAATAAAATTTTTAATAACTATTAATGAATCATTAAAGGTCAAAAAATGTGGTAGAGAGCGACGAAGATTTTGAGCGTTCATAATTTATGATTGAACTTTTGGCTGATAATATATTATGTACGTCATTTTGTCGTGAACTAAAAGTTTTAAATTAAGTCAAAATAGGGTAGTTTAAAGACACAAAATCTTTAAAAAATTCGAGAGAAGCAGTAAAGATTATTCTAGTGTATATTTATTTTCATTTTTTTACATTACATCAAGTAATATTTTATTTTAACCACAAAATAAAACATTACTTGGTGTAATTACTTTTTTTTTTTTTTTTTTTTTTTTTGATTTTGTTTTATGGTTACATTGCTTTTCTGCTACCGAGACTTTATTGGTGTCATTACGTAAACTACAATTTTGCCAATTATTACTAAATGTCATTAAAAAATTTATTTAAAAAATTGTTGTCCATCATAAAATTTATAAAAGCTGATTCTACTTTAATACTTAGAGCAGTTCTTTCAACGAAACTCTATTTTTTTCCTTATAAACAATTTTTAGGAAAGTTGCCAGAAGAAATGACTAAAAATATTGGTTTTATATGTACACAATTACTAGAATAAAAAATTAAGTCATTTCATTTTTACATCTAATTTTTTAGACAGGAATTTGTATCATGAACCTTTTGATGCACATACAAAACCTGATGGCAATTTTTTACCCTATTCACGAAAATGCTACAACTGGGTTTATGCTTTGAACTTTTTGTTTTGCATTAGAGTTCTTTCTAGCAATATTAGTAGATAATTAAACAGTTTTTCATTATCCATGGCAACATGTTTTTCATTAACCATGGCAACATGTTTTTAATCCAATATTTAGGCTTACTTTTTTTTAGAAGAATTAAATTTACAAAATCTTCACATTCTAGACATTAAAAAGCATAACCTTTTTTTTTAAGGAAAATAAATCCTATTATAACGTTAAAATCTTGATTTATATTTTGAAGATCCTGTACAACTTCTTTGTTCGACAAGTTATTGAAGAAGGATGAGCCTGGAATATTTTTAATTGGACTTCAATCTAAAAGTATAGCAGTGGTTTCTTTAAAAATGTAAACCCCTTTTTCACTGTTTTCATGAAACTTTAATTTTTCATCTGTTAAAGCTTTTTTGATGGTACTTTTCTTTTTGATCTATCCAAAGCACTTTTCAATGCTGTCATTTTTATAGAGTGAATGACTGGACAAACAAAGATTGAATGCAGATACCTAAGTCTTTTTTGCAATCCTAAAAAAAAAACAAAATTTAAAATGGTTTTTTTCATATAAAAATGAATTTTAAAAAAATGATTTATTTAATGTTAATTACTGTACAACCGCCTTAAGGTACTTCTATACAATTAGACAACTTTTTTCTTAAAAATTGATATATTAAGTGATTCATTACATTAATTACAAATATAGGTCAAAAAATGACAGAATTTAAATTTTTTTTTTTTTTTTTTTTTTTTATGCATATAAAAAGTGGGTTTTGGTCCCAAAAAGGGGCTAAAACTGTTTACACAATTACTTAACATAGGGTGACTGTTAAATTTTGAAACTTGCACAGTTGTTTTATAACAATGTAAACTACAATCTGTGCCACTTTCACATTCCAACTATAAAAACTTGCAAAAATATAGCCATTTTCATTAGAATAGGTGATTTTCACAATTTTACTCGCCTATTCAAAATTTCATAAGTACAAATCTGAGTAAGCGAGTCTCTTCAATGAGGGTCATTTTGTAGCTATATAAGTAAGCAACATTTGTGGAAAATTTCAAGAAGTTTCATAAAGTATTAGTGAAAATATCATGTAAACGGTATAACCAAAACTACAAAAAGTATGTACTGAGAAAAAACAGTTTTAAAAATCAGTTAATATTTATTGACATAAAACAAAACAGAGTTCACTCAATAGGATCCTGAATTATAAGATTGGCACCCTTCAATATCTTTGTTTTTGTCTATATACCCTTTTCTTAGGCTTCTTCTTACTTTTCTTTGTTATTTTGAAATATTAGATGATTGTTTAAGATGAATTATAACTCTATGATTATCACTTTTTAAAGCATTTTGTTCAAAAAAACTTCCACGTGGAATATCTAAACAATCAAAAACATTTCCAATACCATTAATGCCATCATTGAAACTTATGATAGCAGAACACACACCAATTTTTTTTTTTTTTTTTTTTTAACATCTTCACTTCCAACAAGGCTGCAAGCAACCACTATAAGAGTTGGAAGTTACTGGAAGAGAAAAGACTAAATCTGTAGAGCAAGATAACGATTGACTGATGACTTAAAAGATTGCAAATTATATGAATCAGGAAAGCAAGATGAAGGAAGCGAATTCCAAAGAACTGATGTTCGAGGAAAAAAACTAGAAGAATAAGAGTTTTTGAAGCACTTAGGAACAGTCACAGAAAAAGGATGAGACTTAATTGAATGGCGAGTAACACGAGAATGAATTTTAGTAGATGGCACAAGGGACGCTAGCTCTTTAGAGCAGTGCCCATTATAGTATTTGTAGAAAAGAGAAAGAGAAGCAACATTACGACGATGTGACAAAGGTTGGAGATTGGCTGCCAGAGCAGGTCCAACTATGTTTACAATTGTAAGAACTTTCCTGCTGCAATAAGTAGATTTTGGACAGCGTGCCCAAATAATTCCATTCAAACACTCATTTACATTTTGCGTTTGGCCATGAAGGCATTTTAATTTATTAATTATGAATGCATCTCCATATGGCTTTGATTCAACTACCCTTTTAAATGAACTAGAATCACCATCACCAATATAATTGTTATACCTTAAGTTATATTTTGACTCAGAACGGTTGAACATATGAACTGCACCTTCAGATTCCATTGAACCTGCAGATTTGGTATGATTTATATCACAATCGTGATCAGAAAACCAAGTGTTATAAGCTTCTGTTCCACGATGTTTCTCCCATATTTCACATGCTTTGCATTTTTTAGTCATAATATAAAAATCAATACAGTTATCAATTTCCAGCCTGCGTGCAATGGTAGTAACAACACCGTTAAGTGAATCATGGCCACATTTTTGCCAAGTACCATCAACAGATACAGTGCAATTAGTGGGCTAATTATTTCTGTCTACAAATAAACTTGCTGCATTTAGCATACTGTCAGCAGCTACTTTCGAATAAGCATCCATTAGTTTTTTATTTATTTTATTATAAGCATTATCATTAATTGGTTTAGTCAAGTTCATAACCATTGAAAATTTTTTCATGGCTTCATGACCCAGACCAGTTTCTCGAAATGCCATTGTAGACCTCAAGTTGACATCATATCCTTTTTGTCCAGATTCTTCTAAAGCTTCAACTTCTTTGGAAGTGAAAATAAATTTACACCATTTACAGGTCTGACAACTGAAGGAAAGTTTATTTGCCCATCCCTTTTTTTCAGAAATTATATTCTTTATATTCACATTATCGCAACATTCTGGACAAGTTCCATCAACTATATCAATAATACTTTCTAAAACATTAAAATCTAACAAAATATAATGCCTTTCAGGTATTTTATACGTTATATTTACATTAGAGTTAATTGTACTTTTTTTTTATCCAAACCAGCTTTGGTATATTGATTTTGACAAAAAACTCTTTTTTTTGATCTGTAACTAAGCTTTTTCTTTGCCATTAAAGACAAATTTGCACAAGATTAAAATAAAACTCTTTTTGAATACTTCTTTATACTATCTTTTGGCTTATTAATAATATATAATGATAAAAATGACAACGAATAAATCACGTAAATGCAGCTGCAAAATTACACTTTTTTCTTTGATTTACCATTTTGGTTTACCAAGTCAAAATTCAAACTAAAATTTTTTTAATTATGCTAAGTGCATCAGGAATACTTGCAAACAAATTATGAAATAATTGAACTGAAAATAACTTGCAACTGGAGGTGTTATAAGTCCATAACATGGTTGCTAAGGGCGTTGCTAAGAGTATAAATCCATACCTATGTTAAGATATTTTAAAATAACTTCAAAAAAAAGTTTTTTTTTTTAAATTTTGATGACAAATTCAGATTCAGTGATAAATTTTGATCTTAAAACAGTTATAATAAAAAAAATGAAAATTTTAAGATTTTCACCTTTTTGATTGTATAGAAGTACCTTAAAACAATTCAATGAGTATTATCTACAATAAATTAATGCATGAAAATGTAATATATATATCAAATTTGTCTTAACAGGCTCAATATAATAATGGTGTCTATGTAGTGCTGTTGACAAACGATATACTTAACTTAGTTAAAGCAATTTAGTAAAACTTAAATCGAAATTTAAAAATCTTTGTCAATTTTTAATTTAGGTTTTAAATGAAATAAATGTAAATTTATTTTTGATTTGATACAAAACTTCTGTTTTGTATTTAGAAAAAAATTTCTTAGAGATTTTTTTTGATAATTAACAATAAATAAAGAACAATAAAGTTATTCTCTGAAAACTTTGTTGGATACTTATGAGATATTTGTTTGTTTTTGATTTGTTTTTTGTTTTTGTTTTTTTTTTGTTAACATTTGCCGTAAAATAAATACTATATTTTACAAGAACAAAAAAAACAAGGCTTCTGAAAGAAGATCAACTGATCTTATCATTAGAACCTTTACAATTTTATCATACTATAAAAACTGAAAATATAAATCCAAAAACGGCCGTAATAATAAATATATAATAATAAATTCATAATATTAATCACGTATCTGTCATAATAATTCTCACAAATCTGTTATAAAAATCCTTAATAATAAATTTTATAGATCTGTTATAAATTAAAGAAAATAAATTTATTAATATAAATATTATCATAAATCTCATAAATCAAGTTTATACTTCAAGCTAATAGTAACTTAAAATGTCATCCATAGCAAGAATAAAATTTTTTAATTCATTTTTAAAAACAGAAAAACAGATAAAAGGATCAAAATTAGGCAGAACTATTTTATTCCAAAGGTAAGGTGCTCTGTAATTAATACAAAATTTAGTAAAATTTGTTCTACAAAATGGTTCATTTAGCAAATCTTTATTTCTTAGTGAGTACTTATTAGTAAGTTTTAATGTAAAAAGGTCGTTAAAAACAGGTAGGGAGAAATTGTTTTTCCACATGTAAGTAAAACATAAAACATTGAAAACATTAAGTTTGTAGACATTAAGTATTTTCATTTCATCAAAGAAAGGTTTTGAATGTGTAGAGCGATCCACATAATCACGCGAATCGCATGTTTCTGTTGGCGAAATAGACCAATATTTTTAGATACCTTGGTGGTTATATGATTAATATGGTTTTTCCAAGTAATATTCTCATCAAGATAAACACCTAGGAATCTTATAACAGAATCTCTTTTTATTAGAGTTTCATCAATATAAATTTGAGGCATAATATCTGGTAAAGAACGTTTTTTTAAAAAGGAATGAAAAAGAATCCATTTAGTCTTGTCAGTATTTAGCGTTAATTTATTACATTTAAACCATTTAGAAATGTTTATAAGTTCATTATTAGTTTTTGAGAAAAGTTTGTAAACATCAGTGTAGGATTAAAATAAGTTAGTGTCATCGGCATAAATAATACTCATCAGGTTAGAGGCTTTGTTTAGATCATTGACATATATAAGAAATAACAGCGGTCCAAGAACAGAACCTTGTGGAACACCACGGGTTATATTAAGGATCCACTTTGAACGTCATTATTACTATAGACTACTTGTTTACGATTTGTTAATTAGCTTTTAAACCACGCTAAAGTATTATTGTTTAAACCGTAATATTTCATTTTTTGTATTAAAATATTATGGTCAACCGTATCAAATGCTTTTGATAGATCTATAAAAATACCTAATGTATATTGAGCTTTTTTAAAGGATTTGGAGATGTTGCGTACAAATTGAATAATGGCATGCTCAGTTGAACTCTCGTTTTTGAAACCGAATTGATTATTGTATAGTAGGTTATTGTAATTAAGATAATTATTAACTCTGTTAAACATAATTCTTTCTAGGATTTTGGAGAATACAGATAGGATAGAGATGGGGCGGTAATTATTGATATTGGTAAAATTGGGCGGTAATTATTGATCTGTCGCCTTCTTTGTGAATTGGAATAATTTTAGCAATTTTTAAGCGCTTAGGGAAAATTCCTTAATGGATGGATGCTTTGTAGATTTTAAAAAGAATATTTTTAATTTGTTCATAGCAATCTATAACTATATTTCCGTTTATTTCATCAGGCCCAGTTGCTTTATTTTTTTTTTAAAGTTTTAAAAGCTTTTTCAAACTCTTCAAAGGATAATTCGGACGATAGTTCATCTGAGCAAATGCCTTTATCAAGAGGTGTTAAAAAATCATAAAAAGAAGTTTTGGTAATTGGAATTTTATCTGATAGGGTTGGACCAATTTCAACAAAATATTTATTAAACTCATTAGCTATAATTTGTGGATTGTATAAAATTTTGTTATCGATTTTAAGCATGTATGGCAAAAAACTTGAGCATGTTTTTTGTTTCCCAATTATTTCTTTTAGTATTTGCCAAGTGCGTTTTACGTTATTTTTTGTTTCATTAATCAAATTTAAATAGTAGTTTTTTTTTAAACTTTTCCGGATTTTTTCAAATAAATTTTTATATTCTTTGTATTTTTTTTTTCGCTTGTAGGAGTTTTTGTTTTTAGGTATTTTATAAATAACTTTCGCTTAGTTTTTGATGATTTTTTGAAACCTTTGGTAACCCAAGGATTATTTATGTTTTTAGTTTTTAATGTATGAGTAACATAGGAAAGTTAGCATCGTAAACCGAAAAAATGTTTTAAAGAAATTTTCAAAAAGATTATTAGCGTTATCATTAAAGTTTAAATGTTTCCAATGAAGTAGCGATAGTTGGTTTTTAAACAATTCAATTTTTGATTGATTAAAAATACGTTTAGTTAAGATTTTGTTAGGTTTTTTTACATTTGCTTGGTTAGTGGGTATAGTCAGAAAAATAGGAAAGTGATCTAAGATATCTGTTATTATAATTCCTTTTTTTATATCATTATTAAAGATGTCTGTTGCAATGATATTGTCTAGTAAAGTTGCTGAGTATTTTGTCACTCTCGTCGTGCGATTTATTAATGGAAAAGCTCCAGCCTCAAAAATTGAATCATAAAAGTTTCTAACTTTGTTGTTATCATTATATATAAAACAATTCATATTAAAGTCTCCAATAAGAAAAATTTTTTTATTTTTATTATTTCCTTCTTTAAAAACGTTTTGTAGTAAGAACATGCTCAAGTTTTCGGCCACACCATCAGGTGGTCGATAACAGCAGCTTTGAAGAATGTTTTTTGTTTGTTCAATTATTTCAATGGTTAAAAGTTCTCCATCGCCGTTTGAAATACTAAGATCGTTTCTTAAACAATGCCTAATATTTTCATGAACGTGAATTAGAACTCCGCCACCGCGCTTATTAGTTTGCCTTTCAAATGAGATTATTTCAAAATGATGAAGATGAAAATTAGAGTCATTAATTAAATCGTTGGCAGTTGCCCAAGTTTCAGTTAAACAAATTATATTAAAAGTGTTTTTTGTTTCTTTAAGTAAATTTTGAAGTATTTCAAAATTGCAATTAATGCTTCGAATATTAACGTGTAGAATTCTAATTTGAAATAAGTTTTTATTGCTAATATTGTTAAATAGAAACCCTTCTACTTCCCACGGATAGTAATAAGCACATTCTTTGTTAATTTCATGAAAATAATTAATGTCTTTGTAAATGTTTTCGCGCAATGAAAAAACATTATCAAAAAAAGTAAAAGTTTTGAAATTGTTTACTGATGCCATAATTAATAAAAGCAAATAAGTTTATGTAAAAATATAATAAAAATTTATTATAAGGGTTTCATGGTCGACCGTGTCAAACGCTTTGAACAAATCAATAAAACCTCCTTAGGTAAAATAATCTTTATTAAAAG